TCTGCTTAGTATATGTGATGTGTAATGATCTTTGCCAAGGCTTTATCAACATTCAAATTAGTATTTACAAAGGCAGAAGATATAAGAGGTAAATGGATTCAAAGTATAACAAAAGAAGCTATAGGACAGCAACAAGTAGGGCAAGGAGCCTCCTAGATTGGTGTTCTGAACTAACACAGCACCTGTTGCCATGGAGAGTAAGCTCCAGTGCACAGGTAACCACAGTTTACTTGGCTTAGTTCAATTTACATACCTAGCACCTGGCATAAGACCCTGCACGTTACTGCCCTGGGTTATACTATCCCTGGGTACTGCCCAGATAATTGCTGATGAATAAGCAAATTTTGTCAAATTGATTACCCCAAAATTACATTTTTGTGAGTGACGGGGTGAAAAGAGTTAAATATCTAAGAATTAACATAAAAGTCTTTCGCACGTAGCATGGAGGGTTAGAAAATATGTATATATTGAAGCTCCTCAGCCCTCAGAAGTGTCAAATGTCAATGAATCATAGTCTATGTGCTAACTAAGAGAGTTAGAACCCTAGCCTGGCTGGGGAAAAGCCACAAGCCATGAACCCGGGATGCTTCTGTGAATAAATACACAGCCAAACCTCACCCTCTAAAACTTTTGCTTCCTTGAACCTTTGCTGAACTTTACATAATAGCATGGTGCAATTATAGCATGGAGGAAAAATCAGGGCCACTGCACTGAATGAATAGTTTTAAGCTCCAAGACGGTAACTGGAATGCTATTTAGCAGCACAGCAAAACTGACAGTGTCATTTGTCAACTCAAGTCTTTAGATGACATTTCCTATAGCAGTCAACGGCCAGTCAGGACTGTAGTAACATGCTTTACAACTGTATGGATTGCGGTTTATGTGGGAAGATATTTTGAGACTCAACTGTGGAGGAATATGGTTGCTTTCAAAACATTCTAGGCAAAAAGCTTCTGTCTGAGAAGGAAGGCCAGACTTCTAGTCTTGTCGGTATTTTGGGAAGTATGTCATCATAATATTTCCAGGCTTTTCTGGATATGGCTGGTAAGGCAGAGACCATTAAAACAGCCTGCCTTAAATTAAAATAACAGTGAGATATTATTTTCCACTTATAAAATTGGGAAAGAATTTTTAAAATAATACCCAGCATTACTGAAAACATACTCTTACAGTGCTGATGAGAGGGTCATTGCAAAAAAAAATAAAAAACCAAAAACTTTAAAAATGCCTACTTCTTTAACTCCATAATTCTACTTCTGAGAGTTTATGCCAAGAAAATACTATATTTGCACAAAGATCTCTCTCCATTAGTGGAGGTTCAATGCTATCTTACTTATAATAGTAAAAATTAGAAGTAAATCAAATGTTTAACAGAGAAATGCCTGAAGGAATTTTGCTACTTCCATAGGAAGGGTCAGTGTGCAACTCTTAAAAATAAGGTTGTACAAGAATATATAATAACATGGAAATCTGTTTATCCTGCATTGTTAAATCAAAAAGCAGTTCACAAATACTACATGCAGAACGAGGCTATTTGTGTTTAAAAATCAAAAGAAGAATGCATGCGTGTGCACAGAGGAAAAGGCTAGAAGACTATACATTAGAATGTTAATAGTGACTATCTTTGGCTGTTGGGGTTATCGGTGATTTTTATCATCTCCTTTATGCTCCTCCCACCAATTATCCTACATAAAAATATGGGGAGCGGAGCGGTAGCTTCAAACACTTTAAACAAAATGAACAGCAAACAAAAACCTGCGACCTAGGATCGTCTACCTACCCAGAAGCACAAGCATTTTACAGTGCTATGTCTTAACCCTGGCACATTCTGGGACTTGACATGCTAATGCAGTTGGTTTAAAGTAATTTATTTGAGACTTAAGAGTACTGCACGGTCTACAAAGTTTACATTATTTTCATTTATCACCAAGTGTTCTCTATTCATTCCATGCCAAGCCTTATACAGTGTGAAGTCACTTTGCTCCAGACACTGATGCAGGGAGACGGCCTGCTACACAGACACAGATGTCTCCTTGGAAATGGGAAGTTTGCGCCACTGCAATCTACAAGTAGGTCTACAGAAAAATAATTAAAGAGCTTATAGCCTTCCTAGACCCGCTGAAAAAAAGATTCATTATTGGTTATCTGAGGAATAGTTAGAAATGTCTGGCAGATCCCTAACCTCTAGGGATGATGATGTCATCCATGAGGGCACACAACCTTCCCCACAAGTGTCCTCTGCTGTCCCTGACAGAGTGGGCTGGCAGGATCATCTCATCTATGCATGTCAACCATCTGCCACTAATTGATGCAGCTGGCTAGAGAGAGGGGATTTGAAATTTAAAAGAGACTGATGGTGAAAATGGCTGTGAGGTAGTCAGTTCATTCTGAATGAATGTCCATCAAATGAAATGTGACACTTTTCCCATTATTCCAGCTGTTTCTAGACCATAAAAGGGAAAGAGTCAAGAATATATTTTTCCCACAATGAATGAGCCAGAGATGCAGACAAAATGAGGCTTAAAGTCCAAAAACATCCCACTAGTGGGGACAGGTCAAGGCTAACTTGAAACTACTCTCAGCTGAATTCCCCCTGCTGACTCAGCCTTGCCTGGATGGATATTTTCGATTACACAGTTTAGCATACTCTAAGAAACTGACAGTGGCTAGAATTTTAAGAATTTTTTAGAATTTCAGAATGCCAACCCCAAGAAGTACGAATTGTTGATAGTCTTTCACAGTCTTTTAAAAATCAATAGTGAATCCAAGTTAACTCACCTTTATACATCACTATTATATCTATTAGCAGAATTTAACAATAGAAGATTGAGCAGCATTTCATGAGCAGAGCCTCCCCAGGTGCTTCACCAGCCCATCAGTCTACCAGAAATGCAAGTGGACAGGTCACAGAGCCTGCGCTCCACCAGCCAGACGGACTCACCTTGCTGTGGCAGGTCCTCTTGCAGCTGCCGCTTATATGTGTGCAAACGGAACAGGTGGCTGCTGCCCTTTCCTTGTGTGGTAGACATGGTCCTAGCAGAATGGCTACGATGCAAGGATCACCAGAGCACTTCCTTCCCTTGGCCAGTCACCTTAAAGTGTCTTCACAAGACACCCAGCGCCAACATAGGCAGGTGCAGCTCCGGTCCTCGAGTGTAGACATGCATTCCTCTAATAAACTCCCGTATTTTCCCTAGTCATGATTCTTGAAATAATTACCTAAATATAAAGATGCCAATTCACTTGGCTAAAAACACGACTTAATTCTTTCATTTCAAAGCAAATTGAAACTTTCCCCCGGTATAGTGTACAATCCTACAAAGTAACCACTTCTAAATAAACTAAAAATTACACTTTCTAATACTCTAAATTACACTTTCGGCGATTTTTGATTCCTTCTGCTGACATGAAATCCAGCGCCTCCGGTATTTAGAGAGGACTGCTAGGATAACACATACACAAAGAAAAAAAAATGTGCTGCTGAGTTAAATCAAGTGATTTCTAAGCCTAATCTGAGTTACTGTCGGTGACAGCTGGAAGTGTACGGTTCTTAAAGGAGGCTGGGAAGAGGAGGGGCGAAGTGGGCAGGGTGATTAGCATAAAGAGGCAGGCAAGAAATGGCATTGGCGTTACTATGAATAATAGTGACCAAACCAGGGATTCTAAAGATACCCCGTCCCTGCATTACAGTAATCACACATCTGACTTCTGCTACTCTGCTTGTAATTAAAATACAAGCTGAAGCAGATGTTTATACAGCACGAACATTCATTTGTACACGTGAAATCTAAAAGGTAGAACTGCAACGGGTAATGAGCTCGTGGAAATGTACTGCCAGAACTTTCAATTTCTGTAAACACTTCTGAGTCTTCAGAAAGGAGCAGTTACAGGGCAGCCTGCATGCCAAGGCAACTAACTATTTTGAGTTCTAGAAGAAAAATAAACACATAAAACATTTATCTTTCCAGATTCCTATCTCTGTTTCCCTCTTAGAGTCTCTATTGTTATTTCTAGGTCATAGGACAAGGCTATTTCCAGTTTTTCTTGTGTTTGCTGTCATGACTGTTTAAAAACATAACCCCCAACACCTTTAATTATACTTGGGAGTTTGCAATGATCAAAGCTGTGAGGAATGCTGGTAAGGCTGCCCTTCAAGACTCACAGCTCTTTGCAGATTCAGGAAAAAGGTAGTAGACACAACTAAAGAGTAAGGCTGGACCCTGCAGCTTCCTATGCATGTTTGGAAATTGATGTTAAACTGGACTCCCTAATGAGGAGGTTACCTCCTAGCCAGATGAAAGTAGGCGCCCTTATTTTACTTTGAGGCAATCAACAATTCCCCAAGCACACTGTCATTTACGAAAACCCTTATGTGTGATTGCTCTTTTTAAATAATTTTTATGATTTGTTAAAATGCTTTTATTGTTTTAATAGTCTATCTTCTGCAGTTACACTCTGCATCACAGTGTAATAAGTTACAGAGGTGTTTTGCTACTTTGAAAGAGAGTCCTGGCTGGATGCAGTGGCTCACATCTCTAATCCCAGAACTTTGAGAGACCGAGGCAGGAGGATCACTTGAGCCCAGGAGTTCAAGACAGACTTGAGCAATGTAGCAAGATCCCATGTTTACTAAATCTAAAATATTAATCAGGCATGGTGGTATACGCCTATATACCTAGTTACACAGGAGGCTGAGGCAAGAGGATTGCCCGAGCCCAGGAGTTCAAGGCTGAAGTGAGGTATGATGACATCACTGCACTCCAGCCTGAGTGACAGAGCAAGACCCCATGTCCTCAAAAAAAAAAAAAAAAGAAATATATGAAAGAAAAAGAAGAAAAAGAGTCCTATTATTAGAGAATCATAAATTATAGTTTCTACTTTAAATGGCTGCCATTCATCTCATCTCCACAAAAGCCAAGGTGAAATGCCAAGGTGTTTTTTCCTGCATAACATAAAGCTATCAGTATCTTATCAAGTTGTGGACCTCACTAATAAGAATTTATTATATAGGTAAATTAAATAACACACAAGTGTTAAGCCAGTCCTTGAAGGAAGTAAATTTTTAAGTTTATAATGAAAAAATTTTAAAATATATAAGTATAGAGAATAGCATAATAAGCCCTGGGTACCCATCGTATAGACTCAGTAATTGACCCTTCACAGACAATCTTGTCTCAGCTCTGTGCATTTTCATCACAGCACTCTTGTGTTCATTGCACCCCTGGCTTTGAAGCATCCCAGATATCACTGCATTCACAAATATTTCACCAGGTATTTCTGAAATGTGAGGATTTAAAAAAAATAGCAAAAATAAGATTGTCATGCTCGTAAGAATTCAACATGGTTCTTTAATGTAATATCTAGACAGTGTTGCTGTTTTCCTGATAGTCTGACATGTTTTAATTTTTACTTTTTTTTTCAAATTTGGATCCAAGGTTCCACACATTGTATTTAGTTGACATTATTCTTAAGTCTTCTTTTTCGAACTATATAGATTCATTTCAGAGACAAAATGGGGATTAAAATCCACATTTACCTTAATTTGCATCTGATTTATCAAGGAGTCTCCCAAATGCCTTTATTTTTCTTACACATAGATGTAAAGCTGGGGTAGAGAGTGGGAAGAGAAGAAAACGAATGGTCAGCTGGACTTAAAGGCTAAAAACTCAGCTTTCTTGCCATGTTGTTCCCGTCTGTGTACTGCACAGCCTTGAGTCAGGCACTTACCACCTCTGGGTTCTGTCACTTGTCGAATGAAACAAATGCATGGTAAGCAACGTAGGAAATTATTCAACACTAGTTCTGTGAATATGAAAGTTGGGAAAGGAAGGAGTATTTTCTTGGTTTGACTTTGTCTAGCGCCTGAGAAGAAAGAAACCTATTTAAAACTAAAAATTTGAGTAAGATTTGAAGGTGTATTTGAAAACCTAGGCCCTCAGTTCTCCATCTTAGCTAAGGACCATAATTACCCTGGTAACACCGTAAAGATAAGCATTCCTGAGCCCTGGCTGCATTCTGAAGCCGAGGGTGCAGTTTGGAATCTATACATTGTTTCTGGTCCAAGAAAAACAAACATAACCTGCTTAAACGGAGCTTGGAGCTTGTGTCCTTCACTATTTCATTCAACATGTCTGTCCCAAGGTTGGTGAAACCAAAGAAGCATTCCTTAAACATGGTGATGCCAAGTGCCACGGGGTTTGGGGGTGGTGGTTCCTCTTTTGTGCATCATTGAGACAGGACCGGCCAGTGAGTTAAGGGACCCTGGGTTCTTACACTGCATGTTGAGTTCCACTTCTGTTCTTAGAGAGGTCTCTGGTTTGATTTACCAGTTTCCACTGGAAATAAGCCAGTATAACTGAACACACTGCTGCAGGTGTGTATAAAATGACACTGGGTGTGTCAGCGGGGCTGGGATGGGGGCTACTTTGCTTCCCCCTCATCTGAGTTATCATCTGCCAGAAGATGACTCAGAAACATCACACCAATTCACAACGGACATATACTTTACCTTTTGTTTATAAATAAAAGCAAGAAAATAAAAATACAGAAGTCTGGCTGGATCAAGAAACAGGTGAATAATCTTTGGCATTTTTACTTGTGATAGATTAAAAATGAATTCAAATCCTGTAAAAAGCAAGCTTCTTCCCTTATCAATTCTCTGTAACTACCCCAAAAGGATACCAGTGATTTCTTTGGGCTGGGCGGCTCCCTCTCTGCTTAAATTGTTGTCATCCCTGAAGAATGGAGTACAACGACATGGCACAGATAAACCTTAATAATATCAGTTGGCACTTTGGGGGCAACTACTTTTAAAAAATGATTTTATGATTAGAATTCACAGCTCTGATTGCATAGTGTTTGGGGAAATACTCTGAATGGCATTAAATGTACAGGAGGGTTTTCTTGTCTCGGTTGAATCATCCTGAAAAAGCAGGAACATGTGAATTCTAAATGCGTCCACAAGCAAGGAGTTACTTGTTCAGTTAATAAACTGCCCATCACGTCTAGTCTACAAGTATACCTATTCTTTGAAGGTTTTGGACTGCTTTGAATAATAGGTATTACATGAATAAAAAAGCAGTAGACTGAAATTTTTCATTTCATCCTCAAAGAAAAGGATAAAAGATCCCTAATAGAATATAAACATGAAAACTGTGCACCTCTGGGCTGAGCCCACCATGACCCCCAGGAATTATTAAATGGTTATTGTAGTTGAAAGCTAAGGAAATTTTGTTAACTGTTAATGCTTTAAATTTTCCATTGATTTTAAATAACAGATACTCTGCTCCTTTATATCAACCCATGTTAGATTTTTTTCTCCAGATAACTCTTCCCTAATCACTCAACCAAAACCACTGTAGATACGACTGTTTTCAGTTTCACAGTGACTTAGGTAACACGTATGTGTCTATGGTAACATCCCCTAAAGGTAGGATTTGTGGCTGTCCAGAGTCATGTCCTAACTCGAATTTACCGTACATTCTTGGCTCATAGAGTTTCCCAAGTGGCACAGATGGCTGAATTCCCGTAGTGGTCATCTGTAAAAGCATAAGAGACATAAGTAAAAGATTGTTTGAGAGACTGTTTTGCTTGAATATTTGCTCCTGTCCACGCCTTCAAGAGGGAATGCGGGCATAGCACCAAATTGCTTACTTATCAGTGGTGTTCACTGAAACTGCTACCACTGAACGCCAACATTTGGGTCTTGGTTATCAGAAACATTGCCTCACTATAAAAACACTGCAGTGACAATTCAGAGTCATTTTGGCCCTTTTGCCGATGAGCTTTAGATTTGGCTGCCACAGGGCTCCCTCTGGAGGCCAGCTGAGTCCAAGATCAGTGAGTAATGTGGCCTTGGCCTTGACCTCAGCGCAAGATAAACTTTGTCTTTTCATCCAGTGCCCACAAGAACGGCGTCCTCTCCTTGTCAGTTTGGGAGGTGGTTAATCCAAGATTGTGGGAAAGTTATCTGATGATCCAACCATGAGGGAAATTTCATCAATGTTGTGAGCTGGTATTTATTTAACCTTCATAGTTTTCTATCCAAAGTGAAAACAAAACAAAATATTATCAAAGG